ATTTCGCGCTGGAAGTGCTGCAATGAGCATAAGATACACGGGACACAGCCAGATAACCTAAGACGAGAAGGCAGGCAAAGGACGAGCGCAGTAGTGAGTGGGGTCATCAGACTTGCGTTGATAATGCCCTCAATGCCCTTGACCATTTCGCGCTGGAAGTGCTGCAATGAGCATAAGATACACGGGACACAGCCCGGTAGCATAAGACGAGAAGGCAGGCAAAGGACGAGGGCAGTAATGAGTGGGGTTATCAGACTTGCGTTGATAATGCCCTCAATGCCCTTGACAATTTCGCGCTGGAAGTGCTGCAATGAGCATAAGATACACGGGACACAGCCCGGTAGCATAAGACGAGAAGGCAGGCAAAGGACGAGGGCAGTAATGAGTGGGGTCATCAGACTTGCGTTGATAATGCCCTCAATGCCCTTGACCATTTCGCGCTGGAAGTGCTGCAATGAGCATAAGATACACGGGACACAGCCCGGTAGCATAAGACGAGAAGGCAGGCAAAGGACGAGGGCAGTAATGAGTGGGGTCATCAGACTTGCGTTGATAATGCCCTCAATGCCCTTGACCATTTCGCGCTGGAAGTGCTGCAATGAGCATAAGATACACGGGACACAGCCCGGTAGCATAAGACGAGAAGGCAGGCAAAGGACGAGCGCAGTGATGAGCGAAGCCTTCAAGTTCGCTTCGCATTGTTGATGCCCTTCATCAAGTCATGTCACGGAGAAAGCGCTGCAGAGAAGACGAGTGGAGAACAAGTGGGGCAGAAGCAGAAGGGCAGGAATGGGGCCTTCAGGCTCGAATTCACGATGCCCTCAATGCCCTTCACCATCTCGAGCTGGAAGTGCTGGGAATCTGCTATGAGTGGTGGGGGGGAGAGGGGGGTGGGGGGTCAGTAATGGGGCCTTCAGCCCTGCACTCACGATGCCCTCAATGCCCTTCACCATCTTGGAAGTGCTGCGATGGGCAGGCGATACACAGGGAAAGGCCAAGGAGGAGGCGGGAAGGAGTGGGGCCTTAGGGTATGCATTGATGATGCCCTTGATGCCCTTCACCATCTCGTGCTGGAAGTGCTGCGATGGGCAGGCGGTATCGGGGGGCAAGGCCAGGTAACATACAGGAGAAGGCCAGGGAAGGCGGGGTAAGGGAGGGAATAGGAGAAGAGCCTTCAGCCCTCGATGCCCTCCACCATCCCTCGCTGCTGCAGATAAGGCAAGTTCAGAACAAGTGGCGGACTTGGTCGTTTTGTGTAGCCGCTCCAGCTGCTGATGCTGCTACAGCTCCGCCTCCACCTGAACTGCTCTTTCCTTCCGTCGCCACCGTCCCACTCCTCTGCACCCATCCATACCTTGGCGGACTTGGTCGTTTTGTAAAGCCGCTCCAGCCGCTGCTGCCGCTGCAGCTCCGCCTTCACCTGAACTGCTCTTTCCCACTCGACGACACCGTCCCACTCCTCTGCACCCACCCACTCGTCCCACTCACCTGCACCCACCCATCCGTACCTTAGCGGACTTGGTCGTGTTGTAGAGCCGCTCCAGCTGCTGGTGCCGCTGCAGCTCCGCCTCGTCCACCACCACGCCATCGCTGCGCGCCGAGCCGCCCACGAACTTGTTAAATATGGTCTGGTGGGGGGGGGAGGTGGAGGGGGGGAGAGGGAAACGGGGGAAAGGGGAAGGAAGATATAAGCAGGCCGTTACAGCTCTGTCTCGTCCACCACCACGCCATCGCTGCGCGCCGAGCCGCCCACGAACTTGTTGAATATGGTCTGGTGGAGAGGGGGGAGAGGTGGAGGGGGGGAGAGGGAAACGGGGGAAAGGGGAAGGAAATCCAGATATAAGCAGGCCGTTACAGCTCTGTCTCGTCCACCACCACGCCATCGCTGCGCGCCGAGCCGCCCACGAACTTGTTTAAATTTGGTCTGGTGGGGGGGGGGAGGTGGAGGGGGGGAGAGGGAAACGGGGGAAAGGGGAAGGAAATCCAGATATAAGCAGGCCGTTACAGCTCTGTCTCGTCCACCACCACGCCATCGCTGCGCGCCGAGCCGCCCACGAACTTGTTGAATATGGTCTGGTGGAGAGGGGGGAGAGGTGGAGGGGGGGAGAGGGAAACGGGGGAAAGGGGAAGGAAATCCAGATATAAGCAGGCCGTTACAGCTCTGTCTCGTCCACCACCACGCCATCGCTGCGCGCCGAGCCGCCCACGAACTTGTTGAATATGGTCTGGTGGAGAGGGGGGAGAGGTGGAGGGGGGGAGAGGGAAACGGGGGAAAGGGGAAGGAAATCCAGATATAAGCAGGCCGTTACAGCTCTGTCTCGTCCACCACCGCGCCATCGCTGCGCGCCGAGCCCCCCACGAACTTGTAGAAGATGGTCTGGCGGGGGCGGGTGAGGGGAGGGTGCGGTGGAATGTGCACGGAAGGAGACCGAGGGCGAGAAGGCGAAGGATAAGGAAAAGCGAGGAGGGGAGGGTGGGGGAAAAGAGGGGACAGAGCTGGGCTTCTAATGACTAATTTCAAAATTTAGCGATCCAAGGACGTTCTAATTATGTATCAAGCAGAGGCCTAGGCAGCCATTGATTCCTGACGGAACAACTTCCCTCTGAGTGCAGGCAAACACCCAAGGCTGCGAGCACAAACGGATTGAAGCGTAACTGGAAACCAACAACGAATCCCCCTTCAATATCCATCCTGGAGGGAATTCACTCTGCTTTTTTTAGAATTCTGAAAAAACAGATTCAATGCATCCAGCTTCAATATCCATCCTGGAGGTGAGTTAACTCATCCATTCAATACGAATGCTGCGATACGCCGTTCCGCATTCAGTGGAATCACTTGCGCATTCGCGGTGGCTTTCGAGTCGACTCGTAAGTCACCTCTAGATCGAAACGCGACAACGTAACAGTCTCCTTGATCGCACCTGGATCTTCTGCGCATTCGTACGGCCTGCCGCCCCCCACATCGTCCCGAGCTCGAATCAGCTGTGTCCGAAGAAACCGACTCCTCAATTCAAGACTTTCTTCGCTGGTGCTTCCTTTCAGCTGGACTTGTCTTCCAGGAGAACTTTCGACCTAATTTGGAATCGCGTCCCGAGATGGGAAGGCCTTCCGATCGCGCTGCTAGTGAAGCAAGCTCAGCTGCGACTTTCGCGAAAGCGACTACTCAGTGTTTAAGGATGATGCGGAAAGGCCAGTGTAAGCAGAGGATGATCCGATAAGAACAACGAGTGGCCACCACAACTGTGGATGGAGGATGACAAAGCGGGTGATAAGAATAAGCTGATTACGCGAAACTAAAATTGCACGAAAGGCTCAAGCAGAGCCTGAATTTCGGGAAATGGTGAATGCGTGGCGAGTTTCGTCGCTTCAGATGTCGAATCTCGTCGCTTCTTCCTTCGAATCCTAATCTGAAGAAGTGCACGACGCACCAAGGAGTGCGCTTGACGTAACGGACTTGACGGCGAGAGCCAAACGAGGCGGCTGGCTCGAGCTGACGCGCAGAGGCCTATGGTCGAAGCTAGCAACTGAGAGAGTTATTATGGAACAAAAGCAGCATTGGAGGCTTCAGAATGTGACTTCCATCAAGGGCCGCTTCTGACACACCCTCTGGTCAGTGGAAGCTGCTGTGTAGTACAATAACAACCTAAAAATCTCAGAAATAACCGAGAGCATTCCTTGTCCATTCGAGTGCATTCACTACGGTTTTGATCGGTGCACTGTTTCCAGAAGCGGTAATGCGGTATGATTGTGTTTAACCGAACAGCTAACCTTCCAAAGCGGAAGTGGAGAAAAGGGTGATTTTCCCGTCAAGAGTCGCAGTCGCAGACTTGAATCCCAATGTCGCAGCGACCGCGCAAACCGTCGTCACGGTCGTGCGACACTTGTCGGCTGAAGTTGGGGGAGGAAAATGGCATGCGCGCGGGGAGAGAGCGGAGTGCGAAGGCGGAACTGCGGACATCTTTCCGGAGTCTGTTTGAACCCCAGATGCACGGCATTCTCGACGCTTTGTTGGCGGGTGATCTGAGCGAAAATACATCTTCGCCAATCACATTTGCTGCTGGAAATTGTCGCTCCGCCAACTGATAGCTTCGCATACGTCATCCAGTTCCATTTCAATTTTCTGTGCTTCCTGTCCCCTCTGACCACGAATATTGGCGGGAAACTGGACACGGGGGATTGTGGAATAACAGTCAGCATGTGGGTTGAAGGATGTTGAACCTGGTACATTTGATGCTCCTTATGGCTTGAAAAACTATTCCTAGTTTTTCTGGTATGGTAAGTAAAAAAAGAGCGCTATTGTGAGAATATTAGATTCAGATTTACAGCCTTAGTTCCAGATGCTGAATATACTAGGGGAGGTATACTGCTGGCAGAAGGGGAAAGAAACACCAACGCACACACAAGCTAGGGAAACAAGAATTGCAAGCTTGCCCTACTTTATTCAGAACCTTTCTTCAGCTTCTTAGCAATTTTGGCAGTGTACTGGCCTTGATAAAATGCCTGCTCCAGCTCAATCTGTGTCGGCTGGCGAGTTCCATCCCCGGCCAGAGTGCCTGCTCCATAGGGTGACCCTCCCTTCACCTCATCCAGAACAAACATGTTGGCGCCATAGGTGTAGCCAATGGGAACGAAGAGCATACCATGATGCGTCAGCTGCGTCACAGCAGTCAGCCTGCGAGGGAACGTGAAGGGAAAGAGCAGGAGAGAATGGATATATACTCTTGCGTACTTGCAGAGGGAACTATGCCATAGACCACAGAGAAATGCTACGTGGGATGCTCTGCAGCTAATTTTGCTCCATTTTCACAGACACTCATCTTCCGTGCGGGCGGAAGGAGTGAGAGGGATAGGGATGGGGGAGAAGGGGGGTGGGGTGGGGTAGGTCGTTGCACCTGGTACGGCACCTTGAGGCTTTGTGCTGTGCTACTCATTCTGTCAATCCACCAAAGAATCACAAGACGCTAGATCATTCAGGTGCATGTATGTTCGTAATTTCAAACTCACGCAGTGGTCTCCTGGCCGCCCCCTTGCGAGCCCGTGCTGAAGAAGAAACCGGCAGGCTTGCCGGCCAGCGCTTGCGTTCTCCACAAGCTGCCGGTCGCGTCAAAAAAGGCCTTCATTTGAGCAGACATCATGCCGTAGCGGGTGGGGAAGCCGAAGAGGAAGCAGTCGGCTTCCGGGAGGTTGTGCACGTCAATTGAAGGAATGTCCGGCTTCGGCGGAGCGTGCATCTTTGCGAGAACGTCGTCGGATAGAGTCTCGGGAACCTGTAGACAGAGCACAAGGGAACGACAGGTAAAGGAATCGCGTGGTGTGTTTGAGAGTTGGCAGAAACACATTGCAAGATGGGATTGCGAATTATTGTCTGCAAGAAAAGTAATTGTATCTGAAAAGTTCGATGTGCCTGAGATTATGGAAGTATGGCCACATCGGCCACCATTCCTCCGTCACAAGACAGTAGGAAGAACGAGTAGGAAGCTGCTAGGAAGCTGCATCTTTTGCTATGGAAGATGCAGAAGCGTTAAACAAAAATGCCGACCATAGAGCAAACCTCTCGGAGGAAACTATGCTACGCGTTTCTATTCTGGAACTCCTCGATTATTCCACCCGAAGTCTATACACCTGTTTTTCTTCCGCTACCGTTCTGTTGTGTTACCCAACTGTCCATGTTGAAACATGGGTTAACATGGAATAGTCTTATAGTTGCGAGCTGACCTGAAAGATGGAGACTTCGACCCCTTCCACGGACTCTGCTCCCTTCTTGATCTCCTCGGCTAATGCAGCCACGTGGCCGTACATGGAATAGAATCTGCAGGAAAGAAGAGGCAGAGTTCTTATGACTTTGCTCCGGGTCATTTTGAATCGACAAGCGGATGGAAGTGGTGCAAGGGAAGCGGGTGCTACATCAGGCGAGGTGAACTCTGTCCTCAAGTTTTGGGTGCATGGAATTGTCTAGTTTGTTGGTGGCCCAAGAGTAAGTGCGGTGACAATGGCGATAGATGACGTGGTGCTAGTCGATACTTACATTACGTAAACTTTCGTCGCCATGGCGGAAACTGAAAGCGGTGCGTCAATCCTATTGAAGGCTAGTGAATCAGCGCAAGTAAATACTATCTCCCTCGCTCGGCTTGCTGAAAAGAACTGTCCCTGTAACTGACCCAGGAATAAAAGTGGAGAATGGAAGTTACGTTATGGAAAATGATCAAGATGGACTATCGCTGTGGATGGCTTTTACCAGGGAGCTGTAAATTGTGACTTGTTCCGCTCTATTTGAAACGCCTTCCAAAGACAATGGCTTTACAACACAGCCCCACTAGGCCAATGCAGCTATTTCATCCCTGCATCCCAATTTGCGTGTGCGTCTGGCGCTTCTGCTTTGCTGCAGCCAGCAGCAAGCTGTGGTCGGTTACGTCTGTGAAGGAATATCGACAACTTTTGTGCCACTCGACCGTTGTCGTCTACTGAATAACGCGGGCAGCAGACTGAAATCTATTTGACGTTTGGAGCTCCTGTTTTGACCGCTCGATGTAAAACATCTGCGGCTAGAGATTCAGACAGGCAGATTAACATTTTTTTTGGCAAGCCAAATCAAGGCTTCCGAGCAGTTCCTCGTGCAGGGAGAATAGTTTCCCGCCAAACATTCAATCCCAAACCAATACCACCACGCAACAATTTCGTGAGCAAACTCGTTATTGCACAAGGCGTCGCGAGCACAAAAGACGGGACTAACTCAAAACCCTCATGGTGTGGTTAGGTGATAGGCAGTCAATACAGCCCTTTTGTTTGTTTGTTTGTTTTTTTTTCTGGAGGTAAAAACGCATTTTACAACGCAAAACACCACGGATGTAACCGGGTTAAGACAGACTGGTTGCGGCAAAATTCTTCAACCAACCTAGCAACCACTCTATTCTAAATTACGGTGTGAGAAACCTCACTCAGACTTGTAATGCAACTTCTGTTACCGTAGGTGCTACGGTATGTGCAGCAGCGGGACTGCATTATCAGCCCCATTCTGGCCTTTGTTCTTGCCTCAAAGCTGCATTATCAACCACATGCTTGGTTCTAGGTGAGGGTTGATTTTTTCTAGTCCAGGATTCCATTCTGGCTTATTTTCAGCGATTGATTGAGATGAGACATATTTGCTTTCCAGCCTGGCAAGAATGTGTGCATGAACATGGAAGGCAAGGAAGCCGAAACTGAAACCAAGTACACGGTATTAGTAGAACTACAGCCCCTACAAGTTGTTGGGCTGAAAAACCCTTAGGATCAGGCCCTCAGATGTCAGCGAAAAAAGGCTGATTTAGGGTCTGGACGCTGATTTCACAGACATGTGGGCGATGTGCTGGCTGAAAGTTCAGTTTTTTTTTTAATGTGTTGGCTGATTGTTCAGGTTTTTTTTTAATGTTTTGGCTGATTATCCAGCGTTTTTTACAAGTGTTCGCTGATTTATCAGACTTGTAACGAGAGTGTAGGCTGAATTCACGCTATTACAGATTCGTGCAGGAGCCGTGAGTTTCGGCTGTCCAGGTTCATCGACCGTCAATCACGCAAAATTTGCCATGTACAGCGCCGACGCGGGGGGAAAACGAATTTCCGACTCGTCGTTTGCTTCGTTGTCACCGACAGAATGCTTAAATAGATGTGATTCGTTGGTAAACCAATCACATCCCTTATGCGCCAATCACCCGCCACCAGTGCAGCACAGGAACGCACCGCACGCACTCACGACAAGGACACCCACCTCACCCCATCTCACCCACCCCGAACCTGCATCTAAGTGCGTGCATGGTGCCCCCTCGTCGCGCCGCGTAGCTGATGGGTGGTGAGAATGAGAGGGCCTTCTTTTATGGCTCTCTCTTGATGACCCCACCGTACCCACCCCCTAGGCGAGCTGCACTGTCAATCCACGCCTCTCGCCTTGGTTTTCTCAAACCCTAGCTAGCAACGTTGGAGCTCGGCACGCTCTCCCCTTTCAGCCATGGCCGGCCTTGCAGAAGGCGTAGGTTGCGATGATGATGCAGGCAGCGATGATGAATTAGACGGCCTAGAGGAAGCCAGGACGGGGCTTGATATGCTCCTGCGCTCGCTTGCCCCTGGTGTCCTCGCTCCCAGGCTTCCTACTGCAAAGCCAGCACTAGTCGAGAGGGTGCACCGCGACCACCCACCGGTTTCTTCAAGCTCGGATTCCATCCGGGGTGAGCCTGCTGCGCCGGCTGCCGTCTCCGACACGGTGGTTCTCGACTCGCCAACAACAAAGTCCACTGGCCCGCGCAACTTCAAGCTCAAGCAGTCGACGCTGAGCTGGGCAAAACCTTCTTCGAGCACCGCCGTCGAGCAACCTGTCGCGAACAACACAGCCCCTCTTCCATCCTTGGTCATAGACATTTCAGAGGCCATCGAGGCAGTCTATGCAGACGCTCTTTTGAAGTACAAAACCAAGTGGTCTGAGAGGTTCCCGTGGCTTGTGCTAACCAAATCTAAATCTGGTTTCCCTGCTTTTAAGTGCAGTGTCTGCACCAAGCATGCCGGAGTCAGGGGGCGATGTGGCCGGACAGGGCGAGGGGCGACCGACGTGCAGACGCAGGCGTTTCGCAAGCACGCCGGCACGACGAAACACAGGCTGGCGATGGAGAAGCAAGAGGCTCTGCTGAACGCGGCCTCAAAGCAGCCACGGATCGACCAACATTGAGCCGCCATCGATGATGAGAAGAACCGCGTCGTGGCGTTGCTCGACTCCATGCTGTTCGTCAGTTCCTGCGATGCGCCAATGGGAACATGGGTGAAGCTGGTGCAGTACCTCGCGCGTAAGGGTGTCCAGGGCTACCCTAAGAAGGGATATGGCACCTACTACACAACGTGAGTAGTAGCCACATTTGTATTGCGTTGATGTTTTGATGTTCAACCCTAAACCCTCTTCTAATCTCTTGTCTTTGGTTTCCCTGCGTGTAGGTACGGCTTCGGTGAGCTCACGCAGGCCCTTGCTACCTGGCTACAGACAACTCAGCTGGAGCACATCCTGACAAGCCCTTTCATCGGCATCTGCATCGATGAAAGCACGGATCGACTCCGGGGGAAGCACATGATCTTGTATGCCTCGTTCATCCGCGACAACGTGCTCGTGACCGAGTTCATGCAGCTGATCACGGTGGAAAAGGCGGACGCTTCTTCACTTCTAAGCATCCTGCTTTCCCACTTGCAGTCCGTCGGTGTCGATCTACAGAGAATTTCAGGCATTAGCACCGACGGCGCAAGAATGATGATGGGGTCTAAGGCCGGCCTGGTTGTCCGCCTGCGACAGAAGATTCCGCACCTTGTCTCCGTTCACTGCATCGCTCACAGGTAAGTGAGCTCTGCTGCTACGTTTCCAGCCCGTTACGCCATGTGGTTCGAGCTCGTGTTTAACGTCTTGAGTTTGATGTTGTACTTGCAGGGAGGCACTTGCAGCGAAGGATGCAGCAGAGGAGCTCCCCGTCTTCGACATGGTCGACGATCTCATCCGGGCAGTGGCGGATTTGCTTGGTCGGTCGGGACCGCGCCACGCACGGTTCATGGACCTGCAGGAAGTCATCACCGAAACGAGCCTTGAAGTGCAAGGCATCCATTCCGTTCGGTGGTTGTCAAGGGGGGATGCCGTTCGTCGCCTTGTCGCTGTTTTTCCGGCAGTGATTGTGCTGCTGAAGGAGCTTAACAGCAAGATGTACAAACTGGCAAGCTCCTACCGTTTTCACTTCTTCCTTTACTTCCTGGCTGATGTGCTTGAGCAGCTCAACATTTTGAACAAGACCTTCCAGCAGAAACAGGTGAGGTGGTGCGAATATAGCTACGCATGTCCCCACATTAACCCTTTTAACTGTGTCACTGTGTGCCTCTGTCTGTCCAGCTCGATCTGGTGTCTTTGCATGCGCAGATCAAGCGGACAACGCGTCACATCGAGAGCCGCTACGTGGACTGCGGCGATGACTTCGGCGGCGGCATGAGCCAGTGGCTGTCACCTTTCCTGCTGCGCCATGGCCCGGGGTGTAGCCGCGAAGTGAAGGTGGAAGGTGTCGTGGAGGGTCACCTGACCCAGTCGCTTCACAAGCACCTAGAGCAGCAACACAAGCACCTAAGCTAGACAGGCACAAGGCTACACTAGCAGGAGGCAAGCAGGCTAAACTACGAACATGCGAGCATACAGATCCCTCAGCACTAAAGTCAGCATCAACATACAAAGCATGCTGACGCGCATCGTCCATGGACAAATCAAAGACATCAATCTTACGAGTTAACAGACGAGACCAGCGAGGCGTGACCGCCAGGGGGCCCCAACGAGCCCGGTAGAGGTCGTCGAGGCGGCGGAAGCACCGCGCGGCAGAGTGGTCGTCGCGACCACAGAGACAGGGGCTGCCCGACCAGGTGAGGCACCAGCGGGTGCAGGGGCCAGCGTCACGGCGAGGGGGGCGAGGGGCCCAGCTGGAAGAGCTGCTGCTGCGGCCGGTGCTCCCAGGGCCTCCCGGACCCCACTGCGGCGGGGGACCCCAGTGCTGCTGCGGACCCCACTGCAGCGGGGGCCCCACTGCTGGAACTGCTGCAGTGCCTGCTGCTGCTGCTGTCCCTGCTGCTGCTGGTGCTGCTGTGGCTGGTGCTACTGGGGGGCAGCACCCCCACCGGTCGGGCCACCACCTGTGGGTGGACCTGTCTGTCCTGCGCCTCCTCCAAGGCCCCCTCCCCCTGGTACACCACCGCCGCCGCCGCCGCCGCCGCCTCCACCACCACCGCCGCTCCCACCTCCACCGCCCCCTCCATTGCCACCTCCTCCGCCCCCACCTCCCCCCTTCCCGCCCTTCTTGCCACTCTTGCCCCGTTTCTGCCAGTCTGCGGCAGAAATGGCAGCGGTGTCCTCAGAGACCGACACAGCAGCAGAAGCGCGGGTAGCGGTGAAAGTGGGAAGCTGAGGGGCGGCACACCCCGCAAAGAGATGGGGGGCCACCGCATCAGTGGCGGAGGCAACGGTGAGGAGGCTGCTCTCGATGGTCCCGAGAGCAGTCTGAAGGAGGTCTATAGTGAGT